GCAATTCTGCAAAATTTCTGTTGAATGAGAAAATTATAAATATTCAAATTAGTGGGCTGCTCAGTGACGCAGTGGGTAGCACTGCTGCCTTGCAGCAAGAAGGTTCCGGGTCGATTCCTAGACCAGGGTCTTTCTACATGGAGTTTGCATGTTCTCCCTGAGCATGCGTGGGTTCTATCTGGGTACTCCAGCTTTCTCCCACAGTCCAAAAACATGACTGTTAGGTTAAGGATGTACCTCGCTTCTCGCCCAGCTGGAGATAGGCAGCAGTACCCCTCGCGACCCCATCTGGAGTTAAGCATGTCAGAAAATGGATGGATTTAAGTTAGTTTTACCTGTAACTGTGAGTCATTGTACTCTGAGGAGCTGAGCTGAATTGCTTTGTTTAACTAGTAACAAGGAACACAACATTTAAAAGCAATGTTTTTTCAAACTAATTCCCTTGTAATACTAACCTGCATAGCATAGACACTGCTCTTATTTAAACTGTGCATGTCTAAAGGCTTTTTCAGTGGCATCTCTTTTTTTTTTTTAACCAACCTGTCTCGTAACTGTTTAAAATAAAATGCAAAGTAGCTGCCGGTTCAAATTTACTAGTACTGTGTGTTGTCTCTCCTCCGATTACTACAATGAAGCTACTTACTACAGTGAATAGCTATTACCAATCATAGAGGCTAATTTCTCCAAGTGACAGATCCAGAGTCATTAGAGTTAGGAGTCTGACCTACAGGGTTCCAGACAGATCTAGTGATGTTATATGGTTTAATGTTACACTGGTAGACAGGATTTGGGAGAAGCGGGAGAAAAAAAAAGTTGAGTCTTAGAAAAAAATTTTGACTGAAAACGCTCTGGACACAGACAGCTGCACCCCTCCCGATCCTGGATGATGTATAATGTTGAGGCTTTTATTTTGTAGGGTCCCCGGAGTCTTATTTTGAAAGTCATTCAGGGTTGAGTGTCAAGGGAAGGGTCATGGCCAGTAGTCATATAATATCAATTTCTGTTTTCTCCCTCCATTAGATTAATATGTGTTGTATAAAGTGGCAGAGGTAAAATCCCTTTGAAGCTCCGTTACCTTGACGAAGCTTAACGAGCCTGTCACAGAGAGAAAAGCATAGCACTATTGTTCCCTAGCTCTCAGGCTTTTTTGTATGGGAAAAAACATCTTTGAACAAATGAGCCCTGAAGGCAAACCGTAAATGTTATCTAAAAAATTATTTCAGTCTAAGTGACAGCTATCCATCATCTCTGATTGGGGTAACTTTCATGTCTGTAGCTCTTTCACAACCCGAATGGGAAGACAAAAAAAATGGTTTGTCCCAGCGGCTCGTCTCATTGGATTACATGCAGCTCCTCAGCTTCACTGAGCTTTAAGGTGGCGAAAAAGCCCTCAGAACAAACGAGACATGAGCCAAAACCGTAGAAGGTATAAAAAAAATTGTTTCACTGTGAGCGTCAGCAATCCCTCGACTTTAATTGTGTCAACTTTCATGTTTCTACTGAAAACTATTAGTACACGGTGACAATGTAAAAATGTGGTTTGTTTTGAAAGATTTCAGTGTGAGACTTTTTTTTCCCCAAATCAAAGTTTTCCTATGCCAGAACAGCTTCACTAAAAAACTAAACCATAAATGATATAAAAAAAAATCCTTCAATGTGAGTGCTAGAAGGGTCTGGAAATGTTCTATACCAAGTTTGATGTTTGTACATCATATGGTTGAGAAATGGCAACGATATGACTACATTTGTTGTTTTGGACTTTTGTCTCTCATTGGAATTCTATTGGGGAAGTGTGGACTTCTCCGTGGTCTGGGCCAAACTGCCAGCCAAGCTGAACGTTTTGATGCCAAAATTGTTGAAAGCGGTTGAAAACTATGGGATTAATTGTCAAAAAAATAAAAAGAGCAAAACAATAAGTGGTAATGCATAAGCATTATGTCTCAAAGCGACAGATCCGATGGTGTTACACCGAGAGGTGGGACTCGAGAGCAGTGGGAGAGCGAGGAAAAAACATGGACTGAAAACGCTCTGAACACAAACGGCTGCATCCAATCCCAGTTGGGTTAGCAGTTATTGTTGGGGACTGTTCCCTCCATGCCAAAATTGATGGGGACATGTCCACACCAGTCCTTCACAAAGTTACACCAATGGAATAGAATCACTGGGACTAAAATAGACAGTGCACCTGCGATCAACGCTAGTCTGCAAAAAAGTCTGCAAAGAAAGAGAGAAATCTAAAAAACTCTACTGTATTAGTCACCAACAAGTTCTGTGTGCCAAACATCTTAAATATGAGTGCATAATGAAACCCATGATAAAGACTATAAATTATATTCGCCCCACAGCCATGTGACATTACCAGTTTCAGCAGTTTCTCCTTAACATCCACGCTGAATATGGACATGCTGGGTATCACAATAACATAACATTGCTCAGTCGGAGGTCTGCACTGCAGCAGTTTTACTCCCTCAGAAAGGAGACTGGCAAAAAAGGGACAACCGATGCCGGAAATCTGTCATCCTGTTTGGCTGGCTGATTATTTTTGTTGACAAAACAACATGTTAACATGCTGAACACCAGCCTTCAGGGGCAAAATGCAGTGGTTAACCAACTGTATTCCTACATTAAAGCTTTTAAGACAAAGATTCTTCCATTCCAAAGTGACCTGACACAAACGCAGCCCAAACCACACGTTTAGCATCTCTATAGGAAACTGTATCCAGTTTTCAAGAGAACAAAATTTGTGCGCACATGAGGAGCTATGTATAAGACATTTCATCTCTGAATGAGGAGTTTCGGCAGTGCTTCTTTTTTCCTCCACTTTATCTGAGGACCCTAATGATGGTCCAGACCACCTGCAAATGGAGCTCATTGAGCTGCAGTGTGACAGAGAGCTTCCTAATCATTACCAACAATTCCATCGCATAAACCTTTACCACCAGCTGGACAAAGACAGGTTCAAGAGATTTAAACATTTGCAAAAACATTGCTGCACTTGCTTGGCTCGACATTTTTATGCAAAAGTACCTTTTCAGTAATGAACATAAACAAGAGGCTCAAATAACAAATAGTCCATCATGCAACTGAAAAAATAAATAACATGATAATAATTTAAATGACTGCATTATTATATATTTTTATTTAATTACATGCTCCTGAAGGGCTATTGTTTTAGTTCTGAAAAAGCAGATTACTTTTAAAAACTGCCTTTCCTATAATGCCTCTTCCGACCACTCCACCTTGATGCTGGGGGTATGTTTTCTGCCCTAAAAGTAATGTATAATAATTTGATAAAACTTTTTTTAATATTTCTAATTTTGATTTCAATAGGTAAAATAAACAAAACCCATATAACAAATGTAATCTACAATGGTTTTTAGAAACAAATTCTACAAAGAAATATTTATTGATTTTGGTTTATATATATATATATATATATATATATATATATACATATATATATATAAATATGTATAGTAACTTGACAATTTAAGCAACAACATTTTATATGTAGTTTAAATTCAGGGCTAATAAATTATGTAGGTTAAACTTGATTGTTTTTATACTTGTTACAAAATGTTTGGTCAGCAGTGCCCTGGACTGATTTGGAGACCAATTAGATTTTTCCAATGAAATATTTCTGATGCCGTTAAACATGTCAATTTATACCTTCACACAAATGATATGTTAAGTGCAAAACCAGGTCTGTATAAACTAGAATTGGCTCGCCAGAACCATATTTCTAAACGGAAAGTCCCTAATAAAGCCAAGCCCACACATTCTGCATCTTAATAACATTGGTTTTGCAGCAGATCTTCAGTGTTGCGTTAGTCTCCCCTCACCTTTAAATCTTTCCTTCTCCATACTGCAGGATGTAGGTGAAGGGTCTCCAGAAATTTTGGGATCTTGAAAGGTGAACAGAAATTATTTTATGTGAATATGATATTTAAATCATTGACATTCAGATTTTAAACAAGCAACATCTCTAATAATTCCTCAGTTGTTGCAAAATTTCATTAACAGTGTTTAACATGATCTTTTCTCCATGTCTCTGTTTTGTCCTGTGTTGAACTTGAAACCGGTCTAAGATCAGCTTTCAACCATTTACCACTAGAGTTTAACAACAGTAGTTGAAAAATTATTCCACATTTATTTAAATTTACGGCCAGCTAAATATTCAGTCAAGATAATCTTATATCCTCAATCTTACTGTTTTGTCGGGGCCTCTGCTAATGTCATCTTCTAAAACGCTATAGATATGAAGAGTCATACTCACCAGTATTTCAATTGGCTGATGAGAAAGTTTGCCTGGAGTGTAGCTGTGGCGACACTGAAAAGGATTTACTTAGCAAGTGTTTTTGAAACGTTCCTTTCCACTTTTGCCCCACCTCTGACTTCAGGTATTTGTTTTGGTTTCTTCCCTCCTTAGGGTTATTTATAGTACAGTCTTATTAAAACTATACTCAGAACTGTCTAATGCAGAAAATGATATACAGCCAAGAATAAAGCTTACCAAAGAAAAAAAGAAAAAAATTGCAGGGATTCAAATTATAAGATATTTGTTGCCAAAAAATACATCTCTCTTTCAGCTCAATGACAATTTATGCTCTATTAGCTGGTAAAGATTATTTTTGCTTCTTTGTATAAAGTCTGTCTCTGTCCTAATTTCAGTTGAATTCAATTCAGTTCAGAAGTACTTTATTTATCCCAGAGGGAAATTAAATGTTGTAGAAATTTTTCAACCAGGTGTTGTAGGTGTTGATAGCTGTAGGCAGTAAGGATCTTCTGTAACGGTCTGTCTTGCGCTGAATTTGAAGAGGCCTCTTACTGAAGACATTCTGTTGTTGTTAAAAAATCTTCGCTTTATGAAGAATGCTTCTTTGTGAAACAATCTCCAGAGGTTCTAGAGGAGCTCCAAAAACAGAACATACCTTCTTTATTAGATTGTTGAGCTTTTTTAAATGTTATTGATCATTTATTTCGAACACTTAATAAAAAGCAAATATAAGTAAATAAAGTCATAACAAAACAAAACAAAAAAGAAGAAAAAGAAAAAAAAAGAAAAAGGGACAGATGGATCCAGTATTCAGGTAAGACAGGTTAGTGGGACGTTTCAAAACGTTTAATAACAAACATGAACAGAGAAAGAACAGAAACGGAACACGGGCCTCTGTGGATCAGCGGACCGCAGTGGTTGCGAGCGAAGGCGGAGCCTCGCTCATCCTGGCACACTGGTTGTAGGAGGAACACAGGGAAGTGTCCACGATAATCTGACAGAAGACAATTATCTGTGTGAGTCACTTACCTGGTTTAAAAATTCAGTCCATCCTCTCGGGTAAGAAAGGATCAGCCAATGCACTCCCAACGAGATGTGACACCAATCAGACACGCTCAGATGTAGACAGAAGACAAACACCCTCTCTACACACTGGCCCCGGAGAGCAGGGACATAAACCAAGGACTTAATTAAAATGAAAATAACAAAGAGGAAACATGTATAACTAATAATTTGGCCCCCATAGCTGGGCAGAAACACATATAAAGCAGCAGGATGCATAGGAGGAGTATAAATGGGAGACTGAACTAGCTGACAAGGGGCAGCTGTGGATGGAAGTAACCCCGAGGCCAGGGAAAAGGAGGCTGGCATAAGGAGGCAACAGGAAGCAACACAAAAAACACAACACTACCAGAAAACAACTACAATGATGCCAGATCACAGTGAAACAAGAAACCTAAACACAGGGCAGAACTAAGACATATTAGTTTTTCATCTGTATTGATGAAAAAAATATTTAAGATTCGTTGAAGCAACACATCTTGTTTCTTGTTTATTTTTTAGAGAAATTTGCATATAAAGATAGACCATAAGATGTAATGGTTTCTGCACTGATTCTGGCCTGATCACTCAGTCCATACACCTGCTCTGCTCCACCCATCTGCAATCAGCTCTGACCAGAGTCACCTGTTTCTAGCACTTTAAAAACCCCATCAGATCAGTCCTCTGTGCCAGATTATCTTGAGCCAACCCGCTACGAATAGTCCAGCATCTAAAAGAGTACCTGACCGCCTATCTGTTTCTGACCCGATCTGCCTCCTGAGTCCGAGCCTACCTGACCCCTGTTTGATTCTGCCTGCCTGATTACCCTCTCTGCTCTGCCTCTGGATCCCCGGATCTCTGTGTTGTTCTGATCAACCTGCCTGTTCCCCTCTCTCTGGATCTCTGACTCGGAAAAGCTCAGCTAAACTGCCTGCCTCTCCGTTCTGGATCTAACTGGTAAACCTCCCTCAATCTGCCCGCCTGTCTACCTGCAGCCTGTTTGCCCACACAGATTCAGCCACGCTATCAGATTAACCCTTTCAATAAACCAATCAAAACGTCACTAACCTGTCTTGGTTTATTTGGATCCAGTCTCTGTCTCATTACATAAGAAGGATGTTTTGTCCAAGAATGATATATCACTTTATTTTTAGAAGCCTTGCTTTGAGTTGGGGGTTCGTTGACGGATGTGCGGGTTCATCCTCATGAAACCTATTTGAGTTAGGTCACCTCCCAGTTGACCCACCACCTGCAGGGGGAACAATGAGAGACTAGTGCAAAATGGATACAGCAACAGGCAGAGCCGGAGCTTGAGGTGACCCATTCGATGGAATCAGGGGTCCTAAGGGCCATCCGTCTGTCTACAAGAGGAGCAAGAGTTTGGGCTTTATTGCCGGTGTTAAGTCGGACCTTTTCCCAGTGCATAGGGCTGCCAACCTTTACTTAAATGAGACTGAGCTCCTCAAAGTCTGAGGCAATGGTTATTGACCAGAAAAGGTTGGAGGAGAGTTAGTTCCTGCCTCAAGTAGAGGAACTCAAGTATCTTTCGGTCCTGTTTTGATTAATGATAGAATAAAGCAGGAGATTGATAAACTTATCACTGTTGCTTTAATTATTTTTTTTTTTTTAAATAAGGGTTGCTTTAATTTGGATGCTCTACCAGTCTGTCGTGGTTAAGAGAGAGCTGAGCAAATAGGCAAAGCTCTCGATTTACCTGTTAGCCTACGTCCCTACCCTCACCTATGGTCATGGAATCTATCATGGCCAAAAGAATGACATCATGCCAAAGTCAGCTTTCTCTAAAAGGTGGCTTGGATCTCTCTTGGAGATATGGTTAGGAGCTTGGTCATTCAGGCGAGGCTTAAGTAGAATTGCTTTACCTCCACATTGAGAGGAGCCAACCAAGGTAGCTGGGAAATCTTTTTCTGAGGACTCCTCAAATGGGCTCCAGGCAAACACCACCAGGTGGAGGACAAGGGGATCCTGAAGGCATGTCCAAGAGACAACACACATTGTCTGTACTACATTTTACAGTTATTATAATTTCCTCTTCAGGTTCTCTAAAGGAAGCTCCGTGACTTGAGAGACTCAGTAGTTGCAACTGCTGTGGAAAGCCTTGCTGACAATATGCCCCCCATTTAATGACTGGCAACATGTCAACAAATACATATGTGAAGCACAAGTAATAGTCATTTCCATAGCCTCTAAAACCCACAATATTTTTTAAAGCCTGGGTTCAATTTTGATACACATTGACCAAGGTAAGGTTCACCTTTTATTGGGCTTGTCTGTCGCTGAGCTTTGGACTATTACCTAAGGTAGACCTTTTGAATGCCCCCAGTAGGGTCTCTCTTAAGGCAAACAGGTTTCGGTTGATGGATCAGGCAAAGAGCAGTTCAAAAAAATCCTTATGATGGCAAAGATTGGAGGCATGTGAAATTGCACAGTACAGCAGAACTGGGACCTCAACCTGCAGCCTCAACCTTCCAGCATCGTTATTGTCATTACACTGTCACAAGTACAGCCCCATGAAATTTGCTCTGCATTTAATCCATCCCAAATCGGAGTGGGTTGCCATTGTGCAGCGCCTGGGGAGCAGTGTGGGATAAGGGGTCTTGCTCAGGGACCCAGAATTGCAGTCTGTGGAATTGGGGCTTGAACTCAGAACATCTGTATTCCAAGCACAATGTCGTAATCGCTAGGCCGCCACTCTCCCCACAAAAAGTTTTAAGAAGGGCTAAGTATATTTTAGGACAAGTCTGGGAGTAATGTGTCTGAGAAATTAAAATCATATTAGTAGAGCAAATTTAAAA